ACATTCTCTTCAATAAGATTTGGGATGAGGAACAAGTACCAACAGACTGGAAAGAAGGACTTCTAATCAAAATACCGAAGAAAGGCGATCTCAGAAAGTGTGATAACTACAGGGGCATCACTCTTCTCTCAATACCGGGAAAAGTCTTCAACAGGGTGTTGTTAAACAGGATGAAGGACTGCGTAGACGCCCAACTTCGTGATCAACAGGCAGGATTCCGTAAGGATAGATCGTGTACAGACCAAATCGCAACTCTACGGATCATTGTGGAACAATCAATTGAATGGAATTCATCACTCTACATCAACTTCATTGACTACGAAAAGGCATTTGACAGCGTGGACAGAACAACACTATGGAAACTTCTTCGACACTACGGCGTGCCTCAGAAGATAGTCAATATCATACAGAACTCATATGATGGATTACACTGCAAAATCGTGCATGGAGGACAGTTGACAAAGTCGTTCGAAGTAAAAACCGGTGTCAGGCAAGGTTGCTTACTCTCACCCTTTCTCTTTCTCCTGGTGATCGACTGGATCATGAAGACGTCAACGTCTGAAGGAAAGCGCGGGATACAATGGACATCTAAGATGCAGTTGGATGATCTAGACTTCGCAGACGACCTAGCCCTTCTATCCCAAACGCAACAACAAACGCAGGAGAAGACGACCAGTGTGGCAGCAGCCTCAGCAGCAGTAGGTCTCAACATACACAAAGGGAAAAGCAGGATTCTCCGATACAACACAGCATGCACCAATCCAATCACAACTGACGGAGAAGATTTGGAAGATGTAAAAACCTTTACATATCTGATCAACATCATTGATGAACAGGGTGGATCTGATGCAGATGTGAAGGCGCGGATCGGCAAAGCAAGAGCAGCATATTTACAACTGAAGAACATCTGGAGCTCAAAGCAACTGTCAACCAACACCAAGGTCAGGATTTTTAATACAAATGTTAAGACAGTTCTACTGTATGGGGCAGAAACCTGGAGAACTACAAAAGCCATCATGCATAAAATACAGGTGTTTATTAACAGTTGTCTACGCAAAATACTTCAGATCCATTGGCCGGACACTATTAGTAACAACGTACTGTGGGAGAGAACAAATCAGATCCCAGGAGAGGAAGAAATTAGGAAGAAGCGCTGGAAGTGGATAGGACACACATTGAGGAAAGCACCGGACTGCGTCACAAGACAAGCCCTCACATGGAATTTTCAAGGCCAAAGGAAAAGTGGAAGACCAAAGAACACATTACGCCGAGAACTGGAGATAGACATGAGAAAAATGAACAAGAATTGGGTGGAATTAGAAAAGAAGGCCCAGGACAGAGTGGGTTGGAGAATGCTGGTCGGCGGCCTATGCTCCATTGGGAGTAACAGGCGTAAGTAAGTAAGTAATCATGATTTCTGAGTTACTGAAGTCTATCCAAAATTCAGGACCTATCATACGAGTACGTAATAACCTAAATGCTACTATACAACATAACCATCCATGAATGAATTTTACGTTTAGTCCCTTAACGTAATGTGGAGTTTTATTTTAATTAAATGGATTTTGAGTACAGCTTCTACTACTTGATTATAGTTGTCTTTGAATTTTTTTCGTTTTTTGTAGAAGTTCACAAAGCTACACACGAATGCAACTTCATTAACCAAAACATTCATTTTGTTTGAAATCGTTTAGTTGTCAAATGAAAGGATCACTGTCATACTGCTTTCAAACTCAAAACCCGGCCGAATGAAAGCTTCATAAACTTCATCAATAAACATTTGCATTATAAACAGGGCGAGAATTTAAAAGGACAGTGGTATTGTTTCTCGTTGAGTTAATTAACTGTTTTGATCGTAAATTACGCGTCAAAACTACTGTTGACACATTAATTGAATCTACTCCAGTTAAAGTGATATTGTATTGAGTGTTTCGATCTTACTTTTGTGTATTTATTGCATCGAAGCATACTTGACCGACTTTTAATTGATTTACTTAGTTAAGGTTTGAGAATTCTTTTACATATCCTGTTTGTGTCACCACTGTAGTTGATTTTCAAGATGACCAGCTCTGCTCATAAATGTGGACGACCATATTGTTTATCCCCCATGGAGGAAGGGATGCAATGTGATGAGTGTAATAAGTGGTTCCATAAGATGTGCACCCGACTGAGCCTAACTGCATATAAAAAGTGCTCAAAGCCCAACCCTCATTGGCTTTGTAGCTTTTGTTGCTCGAGCAAAATAGTAATCATCCAGTAAGCAATTAGCCTCCTGGTGTTAGCCAATAGGAAGGTTGATGAGGGATGTACTGGTAATATTGGTACTGATGGCGAAGATTGCGTTAGCGTCGTAAGTGCTGTCACGGCGCAGGCCAGACATCTAACTGTGCAACCCGCAGTTAAACCTTCTACCCTGGAACAATCAATGAGTGACACCTCATTAGATGTTCGTGGCCATGTTTCTACAGCAACAACCGGTGAAGCAGATAAAAGAATTACTGTCCCGAGCTGTTCTAATGCAGATGCTACGACTGATGGAATGTGGATGACGCGGAAACTCAGAAGAATAGGAAAGACAGAAAAAACTAATGACCGTTTACTTGGCAAATCCTTGGCGGACTCAGACCACTCTACCAAAGTCCCAAAGTAAAGCATCGTCAAACATTGTTATAAGTCACTCGCTTGATTCCCATGACTCTGTTACAATAAAAACTAACCGTAAGATACCAGTGGTTAGAATACAGGATCTAACGTCACGATCGAAAGCTGTGAACACGATTTCGAAAGAAGCTAAACCCCTTCTTAGTTTAATTATTTGGAATTTAGAGGAGTAGAAAGACAACAACCCTGCTAAGAGACATGCACATGATCTGCAGTTAGTGGAAACTGTGGTAAGAAATGTATTACCTCAAAAGGTTCCAGTTGTACATATCACGAAAGAAATACGACTCGGTAAATGGGTTGAAGGCGAGACCTAACCAAGAAGGATCTTGAAGCTGGTTCTCGGGAATTTCGAAGGAAGAGTTGTATTATTGAAAAACTCAAAAAAACTCGTGATTCAAATATTCGTATCCGACCACATTGGCCGCTTGAGGATCGAATCAAGTGGAAGAATGCTCTTAAGGAGCTTAGAACTCGCAAGTTAAATGGCGAAACTAACCTTACGATTAAGGGTTTTCGGGTAGTCAGGTCTTGGAAGCCAATGCTTCCGAGGCCTGTATGGGTTGAACGAATGATTACGAAAACACCTTATGTGTGTGCTACACGAGCGATCATAGTCTTAGAAATAAAACGTCCGAGCTAAGTCTAATGGTGGACGAATTAAGTTCCGATATAATTGTGGGACACATTCTTGTTGACAGGTCACGCGTTATTTAAGCGTGAGTATCATAAATGCCGAGATACCAACCATTGAATCTGTACAGGTGACTGAGGAAACTGTCCTTCCGTTGATAACTGACCTCAAACCTTGTAAGATACCGGGCCCTGACGGGTTACATTCACGGCTGCTGTCATCTCTTGCGGACATTATTTCAAAACCGCTCGCGACACTCTTCAACATGTCCCTTTCACTCGCTCAACTACCTAGAGGTTGGAAAGACACTATAGTCAGTCCTATATTTAAGGATGGCAAAAGACAGATCGTATCTAACTACCGGCCTGTCAGTCTAGCTAGCATTGTCGTTAAGTTACTTGAAAAGATAATTCGGGTTCTGTTGCTAAGCCACATAGATTCACACAATCTGTTAGCTCCTGAGCAACATGGGTTTCATAAAAAGCGTTCATGCTTGACTAACTTACTTATTGAGAGAGAGGATTGGACAGTAGCCTTAGATAAAGGTCTGTCCGTCGATGTGATATTCATAGACTTTAGCAAAGCATTTGACAAGGTTTCACACTCAGGTCTTATGTAGAAGCTCACGAACTTCGGAATAATAGGTACTGTACAGGAGTAGATAGGAAACTTCTTATGTGACCGCAGACAGAGAGTGAGGGTCAACGGAACGCTATCCGGTTGTAAGCCGGTCAAAAGTGGTGCACCTCAAGGCACCATCTTAGGCCCTCTGCTCTTCCTTCTCTACGTTAATGGGTTACCGCTGTTGCTCAGGTCGTCGGAATTATTATTTGCGGATGACGTAAAAATCTGGAGAACAATAAAATGTGCGTCTGATTATCTGGATCTGCAAGCTGACTTGGACGATTTAGTTAGATGGGCTCGAGGTTAGAGGTAAGAAATCAATGCTAGGAAGAGTGTGCTAATGCACATCGGTCACGGTAACAGTTACCATTATACTATTGATGGTAAACCTCTTCCATGAGTTCAAGAGAATAAAGATTTAGGAGTAGCAATCAGTCATGACTTAAAAACAACTGGGCATTGCAAAGCAGCCGCTGTCAAAGGTTTTCGTGCGTTATGGTCACTTCGTCGAGCGTTCAAATGCTTTGACGAGGAAATGTTTAGAATTTGATATCCCACATATGTAAGATCACACTTAGAGTACTGTATCCAAGCAGCTAGCCCATGTCTTGTAGAGGATACTAACTCCCTTGAGCGTGTCTAGCGTGTGGGAACAAAATTAGCGAAGAATCTTTCTAAACTCCCTTACGATGAGCGTTTAAAACGCTTAAATCTTTTCCCCTTGTCGTATCGTAGAACACGAGGTGACATTATACTGGCATTTTGTATCTTTAATTGTGATTCGGGTGTTAATATGTCTTATATTTTTGCTCCCTCCAGCACTAATAATCTCCGAGTTCATAGCAAGAAGGTTCATAAACCGCGATCTAATAAACTTAAATTGGGGTCCTGTTTTTCTCATCGAAACGCCCTACCCGAACAAGTGGTATCAGCCCCATCAATGAATATTTTCAAGGAGAAGCCGGATCTTCACTGGAAAGCAATCTGTCAGGATTAACACAGGTTCACCAACCTACTATCTTTATTACTGAAGACTGAAACATTTGTGTTTCGCGGGTTGTATGCAGTAAGCGTTACTCTGATGAGTAGTCCTACAGATGAGATCATACAACTAACTAATGACGACGCTACATCCAGTAAAGCTCATGCCATTTCTCGTGGATACTGGAAAGACAAGTATATCAGGTATTTTTGTTCCTCTCCGTCACACAAAACTCCGGAGATTAATCGTGGCTATTTTATAAGAACAACTGCATTCAGAGCGATTGCCATATCATTTATAAAGGTTCCTTACTTTTGAAAAATATAAATTACCTTATCCAGTCCACAGGTGGAGCCTGCCAAATTGTAAACCTTGGTGCAGGCTCAGATACATTGTACTTCGCTCTAAAAGATGCTCAGGAGACCCCAGAGCTATACGTCGAAGTAGACTTGGCATCTAACATTCAGCAAAAAGCTTTGACAATACAACGAAGAAGGCTTCTTGAATCAACAAGTAACTTGCGCACTTTTTATTATTCTTGTATGTAAAGTAAATTGGTCCTTTACGGACAGTTAATATTTTATAATTCAATGTACCTTTATCTGCTTATTAAACAATATTTTGACTATTTGTTCCCGGACTTTCTAAGCCCTACAAATTCACATTGTTAGTGGCGCTGCACTGAATTATGTATGGACTTTATTTTTACAAAGTGTGATTCTCGACGTTCACCATTGTCATCCGTTTATGTGAGCAGCTAATAAGACTAGTATGTATGTCCCTCATTCTTTATAGCATCTTCATGTATAATTGTCAGAAATCTGATATTGCTGAGTATCGGTAAATGACACCGTATGGGTTCGCATGAAAATAGTTCAAAAGAATCCCTACATATCGTTTCAGATAAACATACCAGCTTACCCCCGCCTCCCGCACATTTTTTAGTATTACATGATCGCATTCTAAACTTTAGCTTCTGTTTATCATATTCATTTCTAATATATGTTCTGCTAATATTGAATGACTGACCGTTCAACGTTTTCATTTTATCATATTCTCTTATATGTATGCTATATATCTAACGAAAAGCTTTTTACTTTGAACCCAGATGCTTCACCACTTAAGGACGATAATTTAAACCTTACAATAAATCAAAAGACTTCTGTTGTCGACACACCACATGATAATTTGCACTACGTTTTTGAAACGGGACGGTTTCACTTACTGAGTTTCGATTTACGAAGATCTGTTCAAGATCTTCTAGATGTTTTATGTTCAACAGTTAATGGGGCTGGTTGTTCCAAAAGTTGCCCAACTCTCTTCCTTGCTGAATGCGTACTTGTTTATATGTCTCCAGAGGCAAGCTGTCAGTTAATAAAGGGTCTTTCGGTAAACTTCCCACGTGCTTCATTCCTGCATTATGAACAGGTAGGTATACTTTTTTAAAACTCATTTTCACGGTTACTGATCAATTATAAATACATCCTTGGTAACGAATGTTATTAGTAACATTTACAGGACCATGTCAGATTTTCTGTTCGTTTGTAGATATAACGCGAACAAAACCATGTCAAGTTTCATCTGTCATTCACGTCTAATATATGAAATATATCAATACTACTCAGTTATTTAAACTTAAATTCGTGGTATAGATCAGAAATATTTTAATAAATACAATTATGACAAGCTAGCGAGACTCCATTTTCTTAAAAAAATGCTAAAGTTACTATTCTCTAACTCTTCAGTTACAGAATATTCCGTATATACAATTTTTTGTCTTCAGCCCCAAATGACTTATTAGATGTTTTGAGACACTTAAAAACTTTTTGAATAGCTTCCTTTGAGTATAATGGCATTTTCATACCTTGAATCTGTGAGCAAACGTTCTTTAACTACTTCAATTCCAGGCTCTTCGTTATCTCGTTATTTGAAATAAAGAGGTCTGTCAAACTCCAACTGTCATTATTACACTTTTATTTTCGTCCATAGACATTATCATACACTCATAAAATTCATTGTCTTCAAAGGGATATTTTTCTGTCCCTATGCAAACGTTTCAAATAAACTGAGCCTTGACACAAATTCGAAGTTTAAACACTTAATTAGAAAGCAAACAGCTTTTATTAAGTGTGTCCATCTACAAATTGCGGACGAAGAATACCTAATAAGCAGTTTAATGGATAATTTACGGACAAAAATAGTTAGATAACCCTAACTACTTTTTTAATTTGGTTTAACCGTTTTTTCTCAAGAATATGTTCCTGACTTTATTCTTATGGTAACCCACAGTATTGAACATCAATTCCTTTAATGTTCACAGAAGTTTTTTTAATCATTTCCACTCTTTTTATTTTCATCTTAATTTCCTGTGCTAGTGCAAAGTACGACAATGCAGGACGATGGATATTTATTCCAAATTTTATATTATTCATAGCTAAATGACTAATTTCATTTAATCCATTTCTAGTTCAGAGTGATTTTTATATCGTCCTGGTTCATAAAATTTGACAATTGATATTTCACTTTCAGACTGACTGGTATCATCACAGCAAGCTTCAAATGGAAGTAAATCACATAAATTCGAAAGTAGCTTTACTTCGTCGTGTTTTTGTAGCCTTGAATTAAACGAGATTTTTTTGACTATCATTAGGCTAATAGATGAGTTACTGTTGTCACCAAATGGCAGCTATTTTTCTCTCCTATGGTTGGTCTTTTACATGTTATCTCTTCTCCCGATTAATATACAAACTGGACTTACACTATGATCGCTACTTACTTAGTGACTATCACTTCTTTGCTAATGACCTATTACACTAACTCTCTTTATAAAAACTGTGCTTATGTAACTGTTATAAACATTCGATCTCTCATCAAAATTTCGCCAAATCTCTCGAATTATGTTACCTTATGTATGAGTACATACTCAATTTATTTATTTCGTAATTAGTACCTCTGAATATTAATTATTTTATTCCCCTTATCTTTTGATTATTTCGTCAATCATTCTCAATTACCTTCATAAACACTAATGAATTTATAACACTATCACATACGCCACTAACTGATCAGTATCGACTTTATCATTACAATTATCATTGTTATCATTGTCATTATTATCGTCATAATGCAAAACTAGTTGAAAAACGAGTGTTTATTCGCTGTATTCGAATCCTGTGTTATCTACTATGCAGGTTAATATGAGCGATTCATTTGGTTCTATTATGATCAAAAATTTTCGTGCTCGTTCCTGTGAGCTTCCTGGTCTTAATGCATGTCATTCACTGGCTACTCAAGAAGAACGGTGAGATTTCTATTTTAATTTCCACATATGTAAATGTGACTGGTGATTACTGTTGGTGATGCTAGATCCTTATAAATCACTTGGTAAACGTCCTATTTTTTGAATTTTATTTAAGATATTCGGATTTCTTGGTTTCACTCCAAAAGCGCCCATCTTTACCTTTGGGTTGTATTTCTCACTTGCAAGTACCCTAAATGTCGTTGGTTCGTGCTTCTAGTTGCTTTTAGGATACAACTTTCCCTAAACCTGGTCTTCTCCCTCTGGTTACCAGGGCTGAGACGAATTGAAGTAGTTTAGCTTGTCTTGTTACTGATCCTTCACTCCGTTCGCCGATTTTAGGTGATCTTGTAATTTCTTCAAACATAGCAATTACTGATTCAAGTTCCATCGAATATTATACTCACTGCTTCATTACGTTGTAAGGTGAAATAATACAGTTCGAGAACCGTTTTCTTCCATAAGGTAATTAGTTCAAAGCACTTACTGTTTGAATAAATCAAATGGTTATGTAGTGGTAGTCGATTAGTAGTAATAATCAAAATATTTGACTTAGTCATGAAGAATAGCTATTTATTTGTTTAAACGAATATTTCTTTAAACTTGCTTGAAAACAGTTTTCATAAGAGTTCCTTTAATCTGTTTACCTTCTGTTAACATATTAACAATTTCTGATGTAACTGTTACTCAAGGACAACTTCGGTGTTGAGAGCTTACATTAATTTACTGGGGTCTTGAATACAGATCCTGGTGATACAGTTATATTTTAATTTTTCGAAATCGTAACAAACCTGTCTGTTATTTTGTTTGCATCAAAATTCAAATGTTCATAGTGTCATCTCCAAACATCACGCGGTGGTCGGGCTTGCCTATCGTGATGACCCAACCGAGCTATATTGGCTGGAACATATGTTCCTGCAGGTTCTACCATGCCAGGCAGGTCGATTGGCGAACGGTAAGACTAAAAGCAGCAACTCAAGGTCTGAGGGCGAAGTCGTACTGCTGACTGTAGAGAGGTGTGACAGCAGTAAGGTGTTTCCCTCGGACAACCAGCATGACAGCGATGCTGCCTTCCCACAAGGAGGGGTGGGGTTAGAAAAGGTCGACCCTAAAAATGCACACCTCACCTTACCTCACGGATTTCCGTCTCCGGCGGTAAGGCCCCTTGAAGAACGGAGCTAACACGTCAAAAACCTTCCACAAAAAGGCCGTGCGCGACCGGCCTCAAGCAGTTGTCCCTTGGGCTCTGCGGTCACGCTCCCAGGTCGTCAAGACCAACACTAATCCAATTTCCTTTTCAGGTTCATCAAGAAATACCCTTCCACGGTGTGGGCAGCCGGGAAGTGACATCAGCCCTCATACCCGTAACAGCACAAGATAGTACTAGGACTAAATCCATGATGTGTAACGTTAATACGCAGCGTAAAATTTAAATGTTAATATAATTTCCACATCATGATAAATTAATTTCGGTTGATTGAAGTTGTCCGTGGAATAATCATTTGTTTTTTTTTAAAAATTCACTTTTATCATCAGGACTTCAAATAAAAACACACTGTTTTAATTTCCATACAAATCTTCAGCTGAAACATTCATTCACTTAGAAACTCTGCATATTTGTTATTGCTTCTCATTCTTTTTTACAGATTTTTTAAGGCTGGTTGGAAAAAAGCCAAAGGATGGACTATAAATCAAGTTTATAAGATGTTACCTTCCAGTACTCGATACAGGTAAAATTAGATTGGGTCGTTTTTCAACTTCATAATACATATTAAAATAAAATTTATCTTTCATTATCACTAATCTTCTGTCTCATATTTCGTGATCATTTCCAATATTGATGTAAAGACGAATAACATTTGAATCTAAACATTTTATATGAGGTATCAAAATTTTTGAATCAGACCTTCACTTCATGAATATGTGTATAGTTTGAGTTAAAAAAAATATAACGTGAGTTTACCTGAAGTAAGTGAGGATTTGCACTTGAAATGATATGCCAGTAGTTAAAATCATAACGTGTTATATATCCGTTTTTCTAAACTTGTAACTATGCAAAAGTAAATCCGATCAAGTAGAAGTCTTTTAAAAAAAGCTATTGATAAATACAGTTTGAATGCATCAAATGAACATAAATGTAAATACTATCCCAAATGTGAGATGAAGATACAAAGATACAAAGATTCTATCAAAACTCTGATTCATTATCAGGATGTAAAAGTAATTACGAGAAGTATTTGTGTTTAAATAACAACATTGACCAGTGAATTTATATACAGTCTATACAATATTTTAATATGTTAATTAGTCAGAGTTTATTTAATCTTTGAAAGAGCTTGAAGCTTATTTTTTAGCCTCGCGATGAAAAATTTCCAGGTAAACTTGATTTTACCACACAAATTATTCATCCAAAGGGGTCAACTGCTGATTAGTCTTATCCTTATGAGAATTAAGATTTAATTATTTAACTTTGATTTCTTAAATCTCACTTTACCTATTTGGACATGCATTTATAAGGTGTAGCTTTCATATGAGTTCGTTATTGCTTGTATTTTTATTTTAGAGTAGAACATTTGGAACTATTGGATGACCTTGAAGTGACAATGCAGTTGTTTGATCATTATTGTATTCTCCTGGCAACTAATGATGAAATAATCTGCCCAGATGAACAGTTGAAAGAATCATTAGCCACTATTGAGTAGTCATCTTCGTATATCAAATATGTGATTCATTACGAAAGTATATAATGTACTGCATTTTTCCTATTTCGATTTCCTTTTATTTTTATCAAGTATTTGTATAATTCATCGTATAACTTTATTAGTTCCTACTTTGTGGTGTATATTAATGCCGTAAATGTAGACAACAAAAGGATCCACGTTAAAATATATTTGTACAGATGTTTGCATTGATTGTTTTTCTACTAGCGCCGAAGTGCTAACTACATCCCTAAAATTCGAAAATAATGATAATTGAATTCAGTCTTTGTAAGTGAATGGTATCGTGCTCACCGTAATAACTGAAGATTTTAGTCCCGATTCAATGTATAGCCGTCGATTATCTGCTGAAGAACCTCAGACCAGGACGAAATATTTGTCTGTAGCTGATATCAGATTGCAATGTGAACTATCTTCAGACACATCTTTTTAAAGGTTATACTAATCTCAGCACTTGATATAATTCAACAGTACTCACGTCTGTTAAATAGGAGAATAACTTGATACAGATTTAACTATCTGATATCATCACTTAATAATAACTAATTACTTGTTTCCAATAGTGTCATCAACAGTAAACCGACGTTTTCATATATACATGTACATTTCCTGGTGTCATATAAATGCTATTTCGTTGGTAAAATCATTCATGTATTAAAAGGATTTGACTGATTGGTAGTTTTATCAGATAGATTTGCTTGTAGTTCGGGTTCGCATAATTTTAGTAAAAAAATCTTTATAAAGTATTAGTAAACCAAATCTAGCCAGCTGAATGCAGTTAAGATAGTTTACAAGCTCAAGTTATGTTTTCTGCACTTGTCTATGATTGTAAAGAAACTCATCCTCATAGAATGATTCGAACCCTCATTGTTGATTCCTATAATAAATAAGATTTGTCCAGTACTAAGAGGTAGACAGTTTACTATTACTACTCAGGAATCAGTTAATCTCCCTTATTGTTTCAGGCATATAGTTAACATGTCAGTACAACTTTTGTCTCGATCCCTAAGTTAGTACATTTTAATTTGGTCCCAAGTATATTTGATTCAACCATTAACATAGCGCATACAGTTGACTATGTTGATTAAAAACTCGAAATGTTCACTTGTACTCTAATGATGAAGCTATTACTTTCCTGATCTATAGATAAAACTAACCTGTGTTGTGAGTGGATCACTTGGGCACCTTGTAATATATATCACGTGGATTAGTTATCACTTTGTAAACCAAACCATCTCAAGAGCCTTTCACATTCAGAATATCTTCTTAGTTAGTAGCCGCAAACTGATTATCTTCATAATTTGCTCTCTATAACGCAATTAAGTGACATTCCTTGTTTACAAGATACTACTTTATTTGAGATACAACGATCTTCCATCAGAGAAACAATCGTCTTTGTTAATCAGAAGTCATTAGTTGTCGTCGATCTACAAACTAATTTTTTTTTTAAAAATAATCGTGATCAGCTAATTTTGATTTCCCTTCAAATTGATGTTTACAATTTATCTGTATCTTAAAGTTTTTTAAGGTTTCGTAATGTAGCCAGGTATTGCTTTAGTTAATCTCAAAGCTGGATTGCTTATCCGTTATCCTAGTTAAATTAATGACTTGAATAATTCCTCGATTTATAACTCTCACATAAACAGATCAAAATATTCATGACTGTGAACTTCCATAAATGTTCATTTTTCTACTTTCCATTAATTCCCACTTATAGAGTTCTATAATTCTCTAATTAACAAGCCATGATATATACCAAATTGACTTATTCTCGGCATGTATTCTTGATTGAATAAGTAAAGTTTATTTAACTGATTGGAATCTCTTCCTAATATACTTACACATTCTTATATATTCTGTCTGTTATTGTCTACTATTTAAATTGTTAATCTATTAAGATAATCAATAAATCGCTGTAAATATATTGTAAGACATTCAAAGTATGATTTATATTTAACTTACTTGTCGAATGCTAAACTGTTCCTGGTTCATACTAATTTGTCTTTTAATTAGTTATGTCCTTGCTAGTAGAAATTTAAAATATAGATGGGGTCAGTGGTCTTCGACACCCTTAACTTGTTCCGTTACCTGTGGTAATGGAGTAAGATGTCGAGTTCGAAGTTGTCTTGATGGATATGGTAATGTACAGTCATCAACAGTGATGTGTGAAAGTTCAAATCCATATGAATCTCAAGCTAAAGAATGTATACCATGTTTTGTCAATACACGTTGCCCACGTATTCCAGGTTGGGGAACATGGAGTTCATGGTCATCATGTCTTCCTACAGGTGGGCAAAACATTAATGGGCAAGGATGTCATACAGGAAGTAGGACACGTTACCGATTTTGTAACAATCCTCCTCCAGAACCATATGGGTTCAATTGTTCTGGGATTAGTCATCAGACTACAGAATGTGATCATAATTGTGTAGATGAAGATTTTAGTAGCCTTGATGATATTGCTGACAAAATAACTTTCCAGGTTGCAAAAGACCAACTTAACTTGAATGCATATCAAAATATTCTACGAATGCATGTTAAGCAAAGTGCTCGAATGGACTGTGTAACACCAGCTTACAACCTTGCCAAAAAATTAACTTCTCGAGGAATTTTTGGTCTAACCTCTCGATTATTTAAAGAGCATACTTTGACTATAAAATGGCTTAAAAATGGAAGATCGATAAATCCAACCGATTCTAGCTCAGGATCTATATCTGAACGATTTTACAGAACTAAAAAGCCTAAGAATAGACTGTTTGGTGAAGAAATGAAATGGAATTTACTGCCAGAGATATCTTCATTTTACATGGAGGATACATATTTAGTCTTTCCAAGTATAGATCACTATGATCAAGGTTTTTATACCTGCCAAATGACATTTGGGAATCACAAGTGGAATACAATCTTTTATACCTTGATTGTTACTGGTGTAAAATATATTGCACTAGAAGGTAATCCGTTTTATCTTTATTCTAATCTAGGATATTTTAATGCATTGGATAATACAGCTGTTTGGATGGAATCAGCTCAAATAGTATGGAAGTTGAATGGTTATGAATATTCACGTAACTTAGCTTTACGATTAAATCGACGCATTCAATTAATTCCTTATTTAAATTTAACACATCATGGAACATGGAAATGCTTTTTATTTATTCAAACGTATCGTTTACCAAGTCAAGCTGATAATCCACGGACATCTATTAATAGGATATATTTAATTAATGAGTTTTATTTAAAAATTTATCCAATGCAACCTAGTTTATGGCAATCAATTGAATATCCAATCACAACTAGGGCATTGAAACAAACAACTGTGATTTTACTAACGATTGGTTTGCTTCTGACTCTAATTATATTATTAAATATATGGGCTGCTAGACGTTGGATAAAACGAACACTAACAATTGATCAACAAAAGGCTATTATACAAGAATTGTTAGATAATGAATGTAGATTATTATTGGCCTGTAGAAAACGGGCTAGTATAAATAAGAACAGATTACTACCACTAATTTTACAAGAAGACCAACGTTTACAGAAAGCTAGTAGAGCTTTAGGTTTAGATAATGAACAACAACAAATTGAAACAAATTAAAACTCCATATAAAATGATCAGATTAATAGACCCCAATTCACTGATACGTTGAGTGATGTCAGGAGAAATCTACTGTTATCAGTAATGTCTGGAAAAAGATATAGTATGAAGAAATCACCTTTAGAAAAACATTTTAATAATTTCGCGTTCTTTCTTTGTGTTCCCACTCAATAGTTGTTTGTTTAAGTTGTTATGCCAGTTACATAATCTCATTCAAATTGTAGATTTATAATGATAACGTTTTTGATAATTGTCTATTAGTATCACAGGTACAATTAGATTTCAGATAATTAAACCTTGTTGAATTCAATCCATAAGTAAGACTATAAATGATATTTTCAAAGATCCAGTAATTTTTTAACTCTACAGTTCCTGATCTTTGAAACTGAACATAAAGTACATGAAATTTTTGGAAATTAAATAAAAATCTACTCTCAATTCTTATGACAATTGAATATTTATTCACCCACGAAAACCAATAATTAAAGTAAAAATAGTTGAACATACATTTATTTTTAATAGATCTCTTACTTTCTAATGTTTATTTAATATTCATTATTTCGATATTGTTATTGTTCAATATTAATTTGAAATTGACCAAATACTCAAATAAATTCGAAATAAAGTTTAGAATATAAAAAGTAGTTTTCGAAATTCAGTAATAAATCTTTAATTATATTCAATTTTTATGAAAATACTTATTAGACCATTGTAAGTTCTGAAATCTATCACTATATAAAAAGGAATAATCATTCGTTTACAAATCCTTTGGTGTGTTAAAGAATAGACAAAAGATAATCTTTTATTCCAATGAAAGGTATCACGTAAAATTGATTGAACTTTAAAATTATGAATCAAATAAATACAAATTGGAGTGATTGAATTTATTATGATGGATGAAATATTTTCTATAACAATAAATAGTATTATCATAACTTAATTCAAAAAACTGATATGATTTTATTAAAGCAAAACAATATATATAAGCGAACATTATTCATCAGACTTTACTCTAATATACAGCAATATCTATATGCATTGACTCATGATCTCAACTATTGAAATGACTACAATCTCCACAAAACCCTTCTGATACTAATTGACATATGCTCATTAGTGATTGACTTCAAGATGTATATCCTGGAGTTCTAGTGAGAAGCAGTGATCAGTGGGGTACAACCGGGTCAGTTGCGGAAACCACCAAGGAAATTTGTTACTTTACCTTTCAATCTGAATTTTCAATTCGTAATCAGACGATTGTTAAAGAACTGTAAAAACATGATGCGTACAGTAAGTTAATTCATTTTCATACAAAATTGAATTCCTAATACATCACATAAAATACAATACCATTTACAAACCAAAAGGTTCTGTACTTTATACAAAG